AAAAAATTAGCGGGGCATGGTGGTACACATCTGTAGTCCCAGCTTCTCGGGAGGCTGAGGTGGAAGGATCACCTGAGCCTGGTTAGTTGAGGCTGCAGTGAGCCACGATTTCACCACTGCACTCCAGCCTGAGCAACAAAATGAGACCCTGTGTCACTCTCTCACAAACACACACACACACACACACACACACACACACACACACAGAAAGAAACTAGCAACAAAAATGTTGGCCTCTATTCTATTTTGGTCAGTAAGTCCCTTTCATACTGGGACCATCCCCATTCCCATTTTGCATTTCTCCCTGAGTTTCAAAAAAGCAAATACTTTTCTGGGATCACAGTGATTCATGAAACAATTAAAATACACACTGTCCTTGCACCTGCTGTATGTCCTGCCCCTTTGCAAGCAAGCTCTGTCCTGCTATAACCCATTCAGGGTTCAAGGGACACTTGTGAGTGGGCAGTGGCATCTCCATGTTGGAGCTGAGGTCACTGAGGCATTTTTAAGAAAACAGAAAACCTTGCAGAGAATGAGGATGTGGAGAGGGGAGGAGAGAGAGGACCCCACAGCAACGTGGATCCAGCCCTGCAGGCCCCGTCTGTATCCTGAGCCCAACCTGGACTGGCGTAATGTCATTGGAAGTCTTTTCTTAGTCCACTCAGAATGTGTGTTCCTCTCCCTGGGGAAATGGAAAGAATCTGTTTAAGGGGTGCCATCCGAACCCCACTGGAGGAGTGGGTAATGTGAGGATGGTGTCCTCTGTTGCCTTCCTAAGGAACCGCACGTGCTGATCTGTGGCTCTTCTGGCCCCTGAATTTCCTGGAAGGGACTGGTCCCTCTCCTACATTAACTCTGTCTGCTGACACCCACTATATGGCAATAGGATGGATATGTGTGGGTAGAGTGTCCAACCATTATGGGCAATGGGAAATTCAAAATGCCCCAGAACCCAGAAATTTTGCCTCACTTAGTATTTAGTCTATAGCCTCCCAGCCCCCTTTCTCATGGTTCTTTCTCAAACCCTCGCAGCTCTAACTCTTGGCCTGTTCTTACACCCCTGTGTGGGGAAAAAACAGCTCCGCCTCTCTTGCGAGCTGAGGGCTCTCTAGAACTTTCCCTCTAGACACAGGAAGGAGATGAATAATAACCGAATAATCGGGATGTTCTTGTTAGACGATCCAAAGCCCTCTGGGCTGCAGCAGAAATTTTTCATTCAGGGACACCCCAGCCTGGGCCCCTGCCCTGTCAGGGTCCCCAGGCACAGACAGAAAAGGTGACGTCGCTTGCATTCAGGCACAGACAGGAAAGGTGATGTCGCCTGCATTCACATGAGGTCTGTCTGTGTGGCGTGGGTCACCAGATGGCTTTACTGAGAGCAGGGACATTAGGGATGGGTGTTCTGGGTGTCTTAACAAAGGGAAAACTCAGGTTGTTCTTACTGAAGCCCCTTCTCCTTTCAGCTCCCACCAAGAGGGCCTGTCCCCAAGGGACTTGGAGTGCAGACTTGAGCCACCACCTCTCAGAGGTGCAGGCTTCACAGGCACAGCTGGAGCCAAGCACCCTGGTGCCCAAATCTCTGCGACTACAGCTGGATCAAGGGAATGGCTTGGCCAGGCGGGGCCTTTCCTCTAACACTCGCAGCTTCTCAGCCAATGCTGATTCTGGGAACCAACAGCCCTTCCAAGGTAGGGAAGGAAACAGCGTCATGAAGATCTAATCCAGGTGTTGGTGGTCACGGTGCTGTGGGTGGAGGAGAGAATGGGACCACTCTGTGCTTCCTCAGGGTCAAGTTGAAATTCATGATGCTCAAACCCAGTGAGGTTAGCAAAGTCCTGGAGCTTAGAACCAAATCTGCTGTCAGGTCCTGGGTTTGCCACTTACTGCTTGTTGACTTTAGCCTAGGTTTTTGTGTTTTTGCTATTTACATCTCTGTTCCCTCATCTGAGATAGCTGAAAAATTAT